CACTGCTGATAATCTGTTTCAAGTTCAGCTTCCCCTTTACTTTCATAATTTTAAAACAAAGATGGAAAGAGTAAGAACAGGTACAAGTTATTCTTGTTAAAATCTTTTAGAGGTATTTTAATCTTAAGATCTTTTCTCTATTTTATCCCCGCAGAATATTTCCTTATGCTAATTACTTTTGTTCAGTTGGCTTTCGTGGGAGCAAATAAATCTTGTGAATATTAATGAATGATTGATACTGTTACAGTCCAGAGCAAAATGATGAGATATCTTGTTTTACCAACTTCTTGTGAATGGACAGACCAGCAGAACTGTTATGTTCACTTCAGTGCATAAAGGTGTCATTGGAACACACACATTTCTGAAGACAAACTCAAAGTTAGTTCTCTATAATTCAGGAATTTTAAGCCAAGAAAGTAATGATTACATGAGCCAAAAAAATAATGATTACAACTAATTAACACAGAGATGCTAAAGTTCTCAAATATTATTCATGAGAATGCAGAACACATCAGCAACTTTTACTTGGTACAGGATTCAGAACATGCTAGATGTCAGGAAATGAGTTTGACTAGCTTCATTGTGCCAGAAAAACTCAGTATTTTCCAGCAAAATTATCACTAATACACTCACCAGTTTTGATGCAGTTGAAGAAAATTTTCCCCAACAGCTATTTATAGATGCCCTTTCTCTAACAAGTATTTGTTTCATTACACTGGTAATGCTTATGAATAAACCACATTTCTTATCTCCTTAGTTCAGCACATTTTAGATGGAGCCCTTTGGAGAACATCATTTGTTTAGACAGAATCTAAGAATATCAGATGGTGGTTTCAGAAGTATCCTCACGAGTTATCCAGGTCCACTGTTCCCTGCAGTCTTGCAAGGACTTCCTCTGCAAGGACAGCATATTTATTATTCCAATTCACAGTAAAAATTCCATTGATTATGAAATTGTATAGCTTGTATTAAACAAGCAATGAACAACTTCTAAATCGTCATGGAAGATCCAAACTAAAACTGAATGATAGATACGAAAAGCTGTGTCTTTATCCTCTCTAAAACGAGATTGTTTCTACACAAGGTAGAAAAGATTTTACCACAGGTCTTCAACAGATGAATTAAAAGTTATCTAATGATAATTGTTTTCATAGCTCCAGATTTAAGTAAAGGACACTGACTAGTCCTACGAAACTTGCTTTGGGCAGTCAGGTGTTGTTTCTTCAAATGTAAGAGTTGCCTGAACTACTTTACCCACCACGTCTCTAGGATATCAGCATTCTTTTGAAGCCATTAAGATGAACTTGCTATTTTTAGCTGTTCAGAAAGTATATTCTGCCAGAATTACCTTAACATTCAAGCAGCAAGCAGTTAAAGGAGCTGAAACTGCATTTGTTAAAACGTAAAACCTGACAGTTCAAATGTCAGTTGGTTATAGTGACAAGCTGATGATTTTGACAAGTCCTCTCAATCTCTCATACAATTTTTGCTTTCAGTGGAAATGTGTAATACATAGATCCAGAAATAACACCAGCTAAAAAGGGGCCAAATGAGACAAGTTTCCAGTCCAAAAGCAGCTTTGAAATGAGCAATGAATGATTAAATAAACGAACCAAAAATGAGAATAGAGTCACTAGTGTACAAGGAATGTAAACATGAAGTGTATTTTTAAACTTTTTTCCATCCCCAAAATGGTGCAACACCTTAAATAAGGCAAATGTTTGCTCTGGAACAGAAAGACAGATGTTTGTAAGCACCATCTTGGTATGATTTTTTCCCTCTTCAATTGATATACAAACATATGTACTTTGACAACGTTCTGTGTTAGTCTAATCTGCTCAGTAAACCAGTAATTATCAATTAGTACCTGATTGTGGGAGTTAGAATGTATTGCTAAGTATAGACATGGATACACACTTCCATTTCATATGGAAAAAATACTCAAGCTCCCACCTCATGGAGACGTGACCTCAGAATTGCACCCAAGTATAACTCAGCAAATGAAAAATGCATTCTCAACTCCATTGACAGCTATTTCACTACTGAGGCTAAAGGAAGAGCTAGGTCATTCAAATCTTTTAGATTGTCACATATTTAGATCAAAGACTCCTTTTTGTTTGTGTGGTTGGGAACCCAACAAGTCTACAATTTCATTTGAGGCATTTGGATAAGAAACTAATGAAAATATTGCTACTTAGCAAAAATATAGCTACTTAGCAACTTTGTTTAGAAGTTGCTCAAAAAGACATTTAGTCCTGGCCAACAGTCTTCCTGTTTGCATACAGCAGAGATAACATTCACACCTTGGTACATAGTGCAAGTTCAAGGCAGCAATTTTAAGTGTTATAAATTTAAATATTTTGTAAGCCATTAAGGAAAAACAGAAAAATCTTTGGAAGTTAAATTTCAAAAGGCAAAACATTCCCCTGGAAAGCCTCTTCAAAACTTGTTCCACATTTTCAAAATAGTTCCTTCCACCTCTGGAAGCATCACTGCAACTGCATATTCCAGTCACTAAAATGAACAATCACCCTGAAGAGATGTATATCCATACTGACTTTTAATTGAGGAAATACAGCAATTAGATCACATTGCTACCCAATCCAATTACCTCCTCTACATATACAAACACTCTAACACTTAGTTAAACGTCATCATTTCCCTGTAAGCTACAGATTTCATACATACCAAGTAAATGCTTTTTGCGTCCAAATTTCATAGTGATTTTTATGGTTTTAGCGTCCCCTCTTGCTACCCTAACACCCCACCCCCAAAAGCTGCAAGTAGGGAAAAAATAACTGCTGTATTGGGTCAGATCAAAGGTCCAGTGAGCCCAATAGCCTGGAAAGAGTGTAACAGGCCTGCATGTAAAGAGATCCCTAAAGAATATTCATCATCAACTTGCAATTTTTCCTGAGGCCTTTTAACTCTGTTAGTAAGACAGCCTGCCTTTTGACAGCTTAGCTTCTATTCCTAATTGCCTTACCAAGCAAGCCAACTGTTTCCAGCATTTATATAGGGCATCCATATACCCTAATTGGGTTCTTCATGCTATTGTCTTAGAAATACTGCCAACTTAAACTGTTCCTATTCTCAGCTGTCTCCCTATTGATCCTTCTACTCTGCCAGCAAAACTGATGTGCCAAACGTGTGATGAAAGAGACTGGGGAACTGACCCATCTTAAAATAATGCTACAAATAAATGCTTGAGTGATTTTAGATAGCCATAGTTTGTTCCAAAGGACTCCTTCACTGCTATCCACAGGTGGTGACAAGTAGCAGGTGTTCAAAGGTGAAACACTTCTCTAGAAGAAGGATGAAGAGCAAGTCAGTAGCTCTGTCTGCACTGAGCCAATACAGCACGTAGGATTAGAGCTCAGGAATTCTGAGCTAAAAAGAATAGTAAAAATCCCATACATAGTAACCAAAGTAGAGGTAAAAAGAGTAACAGAAATGTTCAGAAATAGTATCAAGAATACGGTTAAATATAACAGCAAAGTCAATAAAATACCTTGGACTTTGAGACTGGGAATGTATTTTCATTATGGGCCTGGCACAGTGAGAATCCTGAATCACAACTGAGTCCCAACTGGTACCACAACACAAATGGAAATAGCATAGTAAGAAAGACTGACCCCTCCCAATACATTTTCAAAAATAGCACATCCTCAGTAGAATAAAGGAAATCACCATGAGCTTTCTTAAACATTTTGAAACATCTGCAGGCAAAGGATTAATTTCACATTTAGCAACTAAAAGCATCCTTTCCTTTGTTCCAGCCGCTAAGCTTTATTGTTTGAAATCCATCTGAAGAAGCCCTGAGAAGCACGCATTACTACAGTGAATGCTCAAAAAGACTTGAAAGAAAAGTAATTACGTATGCACCATATGTAAAACACCAGAGGAAGGGCAGCATTAGTATGGTCACTGAAACAGTCTTTCCCAGGAAAACCAGTAGCATTAAGCCATTTGCAACCACCTCAGGACTTCAGGACTTTAATAAACTAAATGTTCTGCAATTGTGCATGAAAGATTTGACTCATTGAAAGTCTGTCATATTCTTTTAAATTGTATCTTCTGTAGGTCAGCTGGAATAAAGATTAACACCAAGCTCCGTAAATCACATGCTTTTAGTAGTTGTGTCTGCAGCTAGTGACTATACTTCTGTACCTCAAACACAGACAGAGGCTTTCTTCTCCTGTCTGCTAGCTAGACAATTACACTGTGAAAGTAAAGTCCTGACACATGCAGACACAAGAACTGCCCATGGAAGCAGTCCATAAGATAAATCACTGATACTTGTGTATGTCACCTGCATTACAACTGAATGAAAAAAAAATAATAATCAAAGCCTCAACATTTTGTGCTGTTAAATATTTATATACAACATACAGCACCACTAATACAAGAACTGAAAACTTAATTCACTCATGCATTCTGATTTTTAACAAGCTCTCAAAGACCAAGAGAGAGCATATATGAGTTTAAAGTTATCGATTTGTGTCTATGTTTAAAACTAGCTGGTCAAACAGCGTAAGTAGGCTTGTTGTTTGTAATAAAGAGAGCAACCTCACAGAAATAGGTGCTAGCAAAACCCAAGGAGGAAAAACTTCCCTTATTCCTTTTCTTCACCTTGTCCTTTGGCCAAGTACAAGTAGAGCATACATTTTTAAAAAAGCTAAATCAGGAAGGTTTTGAAAAGGTAACTGTGAGATACTCTCCCCTGCTGGCTAAGGCTCCCTGGCATTGACAAAAAGGGCAGAGGACTGCAGAAAAATAAAGGCCAGATGACTACCACGGGTCAGAAAAGTTCAAATCTTGCCCTTGCATTCCCTCCATTTGCAGAAACTGCTTCATGAAGGCAGCACTACTGCACCACAAGATCACTACATGCAAATAGCCTCCTTGAAAAGGAAAAATTGTAAGAATAGCAGGAATCTGTCTTCAGTAAGATGGGATTTTAATATCTGGGTATCAAAGCTACCACTGCCTGGGCATACCTGATACTCTGGAGGGGCACAGTGAGATGGGTGGCTGGCCCCGCCGCGCTGACGGTGCGCCCGGCCTGAGGGGGCAGAAAGGCCCAACAGCTTCTCCACAGCTTCCTGCCGGGGAAAGAGGTCTCCTCCCTAGATGGATCCACAGCCAGGAGGGAGATCCGAGGGCAAAGAAAAAAATCAGCCCGCAGGCGAGGGCTTAAAGAAACGGTGCTGCGGGCAGTACATAGCTGAACTAGAGACCCCCCGCTTCCACCTCACGGCTCAGGGGGGAGCTGGTGGTTTACGGCTAGCGCTTAAATGAAAACCAGGGGTAGAGGGCGGGTGTGGCTCCCAGGTGAGGCCGCTCGGGGCCGTTAAGTCACTGACAGTCGCCTCTCCGACGGTGGCCACAGGCACCGGCCGCCCTAGAGCCGGCTGTTGGGGACAAAATGGCCGCCTGAGGTGACTGAGGGCGGCCGCAGGTTTTGGCGCCAAGAGCCCCAGAGCGGGATGGAGAGGGGAAAATGGCGGCTGCGCCTCACAGGAGGGCAGCGGGCAACCATTGGTTGCTGCTATGGCGATCTCCACACCGCCACAAGCACGGAGAGGACCCAGCAATCCATTCCCCCATCCCCAGGGGTCATGTGGCTGCCACCCAGTGTCCCGGTGAGCCCTTCAGTCCTTCGTTCCTGACACAGGTGATGAAACCTGTGGCCATCCCCTCAGTGGTGCCAGGCCTGGGAGGACTTCCAGTAGCACTTCAGCTGAACTGTGATGCCACTTAATACTCAGGTATTAAAATTTTATAAGCTATTCTGTGGGATTTCTGATGAGCAGCTCCAATATAATAGTTCTGAACAGAAGGAAATACCAGCAATTAAATTGTAAGTGGTCAAAAGCAAACAGTCAGACATCAAATCAATAGGTAGTAGGCCTACAGAGTAAAATAGTATGTACCTAGTTGCTTTTCTTATCAATTCAGCAGTTTTTCTGTTCACAGTAGTATTAACAGGAGAGAAACAATTACTGGTTAAAACATGAAGGTTCAGAACTGAGTAAACTTCAAAGTGTAATCAGTAAAAGCCCCAACTCAGCCATTGTATTTTATGAATAGCAGTTTAAGCCTATTATTTGGGATTTGTTATTGAAATGGGAAGGAAATTTAAAAATCAATGTAAATGGGCAGAAAAAAAATTTGAGTTAGTATGTTGAAAATGTTTTATGAGCTGTAATTAAAGCAGCCATCCCCTCAAAATACCCCCATATATTTACTTTTTGATGCAGCTGTGTTGTAATAGCAACAAATAATTTAATCTACTCTAAAATTTCTCCAATTGAGGCAAAGAGGTTACTTGAATCTCCTAGTCATTAGGATGGAGAGATACTGTTTTGTTGACCCATTTACAAAAATAAAAAGATTAATTTTGCTTCAGATTTTAGGACAAAGATAGGGATGATAACAAGCAGGGGCTTTACTGATACAGAGTCTGATTCATACAGGATCGGATCCGCAGAGTGTGTGACAGAAGCCAGTTAAGTCGCCCACCATTTGTGTCTCAGCTTTTCTAGCTGTTGGCACTGAATTCCCCACACATCGATGGGAGTTCCTTGTCTGAGTCACAGGGTAGCCTGGCAGCCGTCCTGATTTCATCCCACCCACATCTCCACTCAAAATGAGCACTGCCTGAGCAGACTCCTATACCAAACAAAGATAGTAAAGCTTTTCTGCCAACACACCATGCCTTTGTAGGCGTGAGGGTTCTCACAGGAAATGCTCTAGCATGGATCTGTGTGCAGTTGTTCATCAAGTTGTCCTTGCAAGGTCCTTAAAGACCTACAGACAGTAGGTGTGGTTAAAATTCCTGCAATATGAAAGAAAAGGGGTGCGTATAAAATATCCCAGGTCATTAACTTAAAAAGACGATTCTTAACATCCCCACACAAACTTCATGGCTCTGGCTGGGAATATGTCTCACTGGAAAGCAGCTGTAAGTCCTTCTGTACTTTATGATTTCCTATGCACCTCTTTGGGTGTCCTCATTAGAGACCACATCACTTTGTCCCTAGGAGCTGGTGGAATTAACAGAATGCCCTTGTCAGTTTAGCAGAGATGACAGGAACTAAGGAGCTGCAGGACTGTGACAGAGGCAACTGAGTACAGTGTACAGGCTGCGCTGTCTGTACTCAGCAGTGATACAGAAGCTCTCAATCTCTAGAGTTCTCCTTACAACACCTTTAACCAACAGCCATTGATGTCAATGTTTTCTGTGTAAAAAATATATATAAAAAAATAAAAATAAATGTTTGCATGCTCCAGGTCTTTGGTCAAGATGTTTCTAACTGGTATTCCAGAAATAGAACGAGCTTTTATTTACTCTACAGCAGTCCACATTCATTTGCCAAGTGCCATTACATAACAGCAATTAATTACATTATTTCTTTGTTACTAGCTGTGAGCATAGACTGTTTTCACAATGTGCTGAAATGTATTTCTGAAGCTCTTCTCAGTAGCTCCAAAGGGAAGATAAATGAGGACAAGCAGAGTGCCTAGATTAACAACAAATGATAAATCCAGGCCCCTTCATGGATGCCAAATTAAATATCCTGTTGTAGGCCTTGACCTAATTCCAGCTACTTGTGATTTTTCTTGTACTTCTTCATTAAACAGATCTTTAAGAATTGCTGGGTCAGCCATGTGAATAGGTTATATGCATCCTTTAGACATATGTAATTCATAATTCCAGAAATTCATAATTTCAGAAATTATTCTTGCAAGGTATGGATAACTTCAGATGGACTCAGAAGTTCCCACTAATTTTGCTGGGACCAGAAGTTCATTATCTATCTTCAGAAAAAGTCTCATGTTGTTAAGAATGGTGTTTTATTTATATTACTTTAAATACTACAAGCTATAACTGCTTGCAAGCAGCTCCAAATCTTACTATCAGGACACGATTCTTAGTTTTCACCTTAAAAAATCTTTGCTTCCTTTTTTTTTTTATTATTTGTTGTTGTTGTTATTCCTACATTTCAACATATTAATGTGTCCAGAAGAAGTGTGTATGGTAGTGGTCAATGTGTTGTGTACGATGCTAAGTGTTAATTTTGCTGAAATTGTACTGCCATTTAAGCACTTGTAAGTTTCAGCAAATACTTTATTGAATTACTTAAAATTATTTAATTCATTTATTCTTGTCTGGTTTCGCAGCCTTACAATCTTTTTCAATTTCTTTTTTTAGAGCTCTCATCTGTCTCTCATCTTCCCTGTATAACTGTCCGTAGGAGTCAGTCTCCCGTATTAAAGACTCCTGTCTCCTATCTTGTAGATTCTAAAGCAGCCCTAAACTATGCTGACCTATTTTACCACTGTATCACACAATCAGAGAGATTTGCCAGATGTCTTAGATGATTCATTATTCCCTCAAGGAATTTGACCTATCCTAGAATAAAACTAAGATTGCAGAGCAAGTACCGAATTCTGATTTCAGAGACGATGACTTTACTGGACAGATCCAGTCAGAGTCTTGGAAATTGATTTGTATTCATTCTGATGCGACTGGGGTCAGAATCTGGCTAAAGATATACTCTCGGATAGACCAAAAGTTTTGCCAGCTGATCACAAACCTGGGTGCTGAACTGAGTCCCCTGTATGTTAAGCTCCTATGCTCTTAAACTAGTTTCGGCCCAGGTTAGCCATAGATACATGTCAGGGGGAGGGGAGATGTTCTCTAGTGCATCTGCTGAACAAAAGGTTATTACTCAAACGTAGTGCCTGTTCTGCTCCTCCAGAAGCAGAATTCTGACCACAAGGGGACATTATCATGAAAGTAAACAGGTCCACACAGTGCTTGTTAAATTACTTAACAATATAGCTCTAAAAAAAGCCCAGGTTACCCATATTAGCACTGCTTTTTGCGTGCTCTTTACACTTAGGTTAGGGTCTTCCAGGATCCTGTCCCATCTTCCCTCTGCTCTGTTCCCAGTTTACAAGCACATGGTGTTGCACCACACTATAGTTTACTTCTTTCTCTATTGTAGGCCATATCTTTTTTCTTTGTCTGGTCCCCCAGCTGTTTTTACCACATTCACAAGCAGTTCCTTTCTCTGCTTTGACCCTCACAGAGCTTTCTACTGACCATTGCAGGCCTGTGGCCCTTGAATGCCAGCAGTGCCACCCAGTCACTTTCTTTGTTCTGCTTAGCTGTGTTTTTAAGGACCTTTGGTTGCTCACAAATCCTTTTTCAGTTGCTCTGCTTACATGACTAATTTTCCTGGATATCAGTACTCCCGTTGTCCTAGGATGCTTCTACATCCATTAGAGCCACCAAAATTAACCAGTTGTCAGTGATACTGTTTCATAGGATACTGGCTGACTCTACATGTGCTGAGCAGCTCCGCAATAAAACAATTCTACAGCCGGAGTGGGGATACACAGAAGTCTCAAACTATTACAGCTTAATTACTGCTGCATTGCTTTTCAGTATCATTTGCTCTGTAGAACTCAAAAAAAGGATTTTGGATACAGAAAGAAGAGAAAGCACACTTTTAATCTTCCTTAGCATAGATAAAGTAAGCTTTTAAGGGTATCTAATTATTCTTTTTTTTTACTGATCTCAGTTAGTAAGAGAAGATACGCAGCTAAAATGTTCTACGACCTATGCTCAGTGTGAAAAACACTAGCACTGACTATCATCCTTCCTGCTGTGAAAATATTTTGTGTTAAGACCTTTTAAAACAGGAATTAAACTGTCTGCATATTTGGGGTATGTGCAAGGGTACAGAAAGAACTGTGTCTGCATAACTTTGAACAACCAGCTGGTGTCTCAAACTGCCATCCGGAGGTTACATTTCAAAACTTTCTATTGATTCACGATAGAGCTAATTGAAATATGTGCCTATTCTGATTAAATCCAAACCACATCAGAAAAAGCCCATTTGGTGACCTCTGTGCTGCAGTTCCTTTTTCCAGAAACAAAATTTGCTGCAAAAAAATGTTGTGGTTGACAAACAGGAATTTATCTTGAACTGTTTTGGTAGAACAGGCAGTGACAGGACAGGACTGGAGGCAGAATAACCTGATCTCTAGTTGAGATGGCATCCCTAGCAAAGCTTTTTTGCACAGGGACTGGCAACAAAGGGAAGCTTACCCTGATTCTTCTGTCATATGAGCAAATAATCTATTAATCTAACACCAAATCAACTTCCTTATCTATTCTAAAAAACAAAAAATCAGTTCACAGGTATTAGTGTTGTTGTTGTTGTTGGGGGGAAGTTTGTTTGTTTGTTTGTTTTCTAGAAAACAAATATACAAGGTGCTAATTCCATTTCCAGGACTGGAAATAAATATAATCAGATCAGGGTTAGCAGGTCCAGAGCCCTATCAGAGCAAACAGAAACTGTAATCTCTAACAATTCCCTATGGAAAAATTTTGGACGTCTTCATTTGACAATTC